GACATTGTTGAATAAAATCATCAATTATGTTATTTCCTGATGTCCAAGTGTTGAAAAGACTCTGTAATTGTAAACTAATGCAACCTTCACAGAACCTATCAGAGTATCTTGTCAATTTACACTTGTTACATTCTTTTGGTTTGCCCCATTTATTTCTTGCATTTTTTAATTCGAAGCTGTAGGCAAACTTTTCCTTACAAAATTCTTTTTCATTTTCAGAAAGCTCCTTGTTTTTCTTGACTAATGAAAAAAAATAATCCTTTCTACTTTCTCTATCAGAATTAGCATTAGCATTATTGTATATTTCACCATTAATTTTATATACAAATTCCATTCTTTCTAATGATAACGATGATAATAGTTTGGCATACATTACTTTACGTTTTAATAAATAGAGTAGTAATTTTTTTTTAACATACACAAGAAAGGGTGCTGTGTTACAGTTCATTCTGAATTTTTATATTTTTATATTTTGTGTAATAATATATTTATTTTGTTTAACAAATTTACCCGAATTTGAATATTCTATTGTAAAGAAGCTCGTTAAGACCTAAAACGGTAAATTCGGTGCAGTTAAGGTAACGAGTTACGAATATTCTAAACATTTTGTTGCTCAACTTTAATAAACTGAATTTTTGGGAAAGGATGAGATCAAAATCTATGGGCAAAACTTTATAATGAGTCGTTTTTTCCTTTTTTTGGGATTTTCGTTTCCAAAAATGATATTATTTTTACATCGCTGTACCATGTAAATTATCATTTCTATCTACAAAAAATTATCAAAAAGTCAGAGTTGAACTTGACTGAAAAGAAATCATGTTCGCTTTAAATTTTTTTTTGCGTGGTTCCTATTGTTAGGTTTACGTCTTTCTCTGAAGTTTCGGATCGTTCAAAATGACAAAACTTATGAACTTGCTTGGAGCTTTTACCCCAGGTCCTGGATCATGTTAGTGTTAGTATATTTTTGGGTCATGAGATCAGAATTCAAAAACACTTTTTTACATTTTATTTTGTTGTCATTATTACTATTATTATTATCGGTCAATTCAATGATCGATAAACAAACAATACTGTATGTACAAATTTTTTTTGATTTTGATCAAATTTTATTTTTAATTTCCTTTCGGAGAAAACAAACTTTTTGAACCATCAATTTTAGTTTTGTCAACATAAAAAAATGTCATCAAAAAAGCTCGATTTGCAACGTTCAACGCTTCTTTATTATTGGAACCAAGGAATACATTCCCCAAAGGAACTTCACACAAAATCTAACATTCCCATATCAACAGTCAAATATAATATTAAAAAAATAAAAGAAACCGGGGATGTTTCACATAAGGGAGGTAATAGCCGTCTAAAAAAGATAGGATCAGCAATGACGCATGAGCTTGAGTAATACATTTACAATGACAATTCCACATCTTTGCGAACCCTGGCAATAGAATTATCCAATAATGAAAATTCTGTATCGCATATGGCTGTAGCGAGAAGATTGACAGAGCTTGGCTACAAAAATGCACTTTCAACTGGTACCCCAATGCTCACGGTTAATCACAAGGCAAGTCGAGTCGAATGTGCTAGGAATCACCTAAATAATAGTTGGGAAAGGACCTTGTTTTCTGACTAAACAGCCTTCCATCTGTTTATGAACACAATAAAACGATGGTATAGGGGTCCAAAGCCTATTCAGCCACTTCCTAAAGATCGACAAAAAGTCTTTGCCTGGGGCGGGTTTTGTGTTAAAGGGAAGACTAGCTTGTTTTGCTTCACTGAGATCATGAATGGGGAGTTTTATGTTGAGATTTTGCGCCAGTACCTTCCAGAAATCAGAAGGATGCTTGATAGACGGTGGAGATTCCAAAAGACAATGACCCGAAGCACACTAGTCGGGTTGCCAAAAATTAAAGATTTATGCTTATCGTAATATCCAAATTTTTTTTTTCTTATTATTTGAAAATCACCCAACCAAATTTCAACACTACTATACGTACTATACGCACTATACGCACTATACGCACTATACGTAAAGTATCGTAAAGTATCGTATAGTGTTCAACTATACGCCATTTGCCCATCTCTAAAGTGAATACTTTGCGTTCTTTTAGATTTACATTTCCAATAATCCTTAATGCTTACGGAAAAATTCTTGACATAACGCGAAGATAAGGTGTTAATCGAATTCAAAAAATAAAATTTTGATTTTTATTATTCTAATAGTAATCTATTACCATATATTATTATTCACGTTTTCATTTACAAATTCCACCACCGCAATAATAACAACAATTTCTTTTTCTTCTTCTGTTCCTTCTGAAAAACTGTTTCTGATGCTGCAATCAAATTTTGAGATAACAAGGTCGTAAAAAGTATTTCTTTATATTAGAGGATATTGATTTATTTATTACGGTGTTAAACGTAGCGACACTTCAACATCTTTCACTGGTCGAAAATTTTTTTTTGGGGCATAAATTACTGGACGAGGGTTGGCACTCGAGTAACATGCTTCATATTACCCATAGAAGGAAGGGGATTTCAGACTTCGCCAGGATTCATGGAAGTCCGTGAAATAGGAACAGACTACTTTCGGGAACTCTTTGGGTTGTATCTTAAAACAATACTAAATTGAACGTTCATAAAATATAATAAATAGTCAAAAAAGATCCAACTTTATGTCCAAATGTTCCTTCATTGCGATGCTCCAATTTGATGTTTTTGTTCTCATGATGCAATGACAACTGATTACGAAAGAACCATTCAGGATGTGTTTGGGATATAACTATTAAATTACAATTCATGTGGGCCTAAATTCAACGTAAATTTCATTTGAAATTACTTTAATTATTCACAAAAAAACTTTACCTGCCCGAAATTAACCTGTAATCGACCTGCAGGTGTTGAGTAGGCCATAAGTTGAGCCAAGTGATCAATATCTTTCAAGAAATCTAACCTTCACCATGGGTGGGTCAAGCAACAAATTGGATTAAAAGGCTTCTGAAAGTTTATCCCAAAAACACTTGAAAAAGCAACTTCAACCAGTGTTCAAAAAGGACCCAATGTAATTTCAGAGCCTACTGCCCTACACTTGATTTTTCCATTGCAGTTTTGAAGTGATTAGACTATCTTTTTTTTTTTTTGAGACAGAATAATTGTAACATTTGATTAAATAAAGATGCCAAAGGCTTTAGACACCGCTTGTTGATCCATCAGAAATATTCAAGACCAATAGTATTAAAGCTAAAACCCCCTGTTTAGCACACAAATCAATATAGGAATCTGAAAGTAGAATATCCAAGATATTTATATTTATACCACCGGTTCTAATCAGTCGTCCATGGCGGCAAATTGATAATTCAATAAAAATAACTATAAAAAAATATTTATTATTTTAAAATCGCGATTATCATGCCCAGCGTACAATATGTTGCACCAAAAGTTAAGCATCAGATATATATAGTTTCGGAGTTCTGATGTCATAAAAATATGTGAAGGTGCAAGACCTGGATTTTCAAGTTTCTATATTGAACTAGCATTCAGATGCGTGAATGCTGATCCAGATAAACTGAAGAAATTTATAAGATTATTTACTCTTGAAATGATTCATCAAATGATTATATAATAGATGACCTTGATATTCAAAAGAAAACAGTTTAATAAAATGGACAATTGCTGCAGCAATTCATCCAAATGCTCTTTATACTAGCAGATTATTAAAATTACAAGCCTTCCCCAACCTATGAATTCCAATAATGTAACAATTATTAGTAATAATAATGGTAATTATTGACATTTTAAAATTTACAATATTTATTAATACCCACTCTCGTGATAAATATTTTTTTATGCTCTCACAAATTGAACTATCTATGCCAGATGAATTGCCTAAAATAAATTAAATCTTGTTATTTATTTAGAGTTGATTTATATATACAAAATTAATAGATTTAACAAGCATATATTATATAAAAAAATTATATTGACGTATTGTCTGCTAATGATGTATGACGAAACTTTTGACTTAGTAATTGACGTAACTAAATTATTGATTAAAGATAGTTTCTCACCAGGGAAATTTTGACGATTTGACTAAGGTAAAAGCCCTTGACGTAAGCAAAAACACTTGACGTAAGTAAAAATACTTGATACAAGCAGCAACAATAATAATGATAAAATAAGTAAAAATGTGTGTCCCGGGATAAAGAATTATTATGTCATTATAGTTATCATGGGAAGTTTACAAATGTTATAATTTGAATTAGAAATTTTACCGCTTGTTTTTTTCCGTCGAAATAAAAATGCCTCTTCTTTCTTACAAATTAGAACTATTCGTTTATTATTACATTTCACATATGAATCGTGTTAAATTGATGTTTTTTCGAATTTTTGACTTTTGAAGTTAATTACGTGTAATAGTAATACGTAGTAATATTAATAATATGCTTGAGCTGTCTTTAATGTCTAAGTTTGAAGCAACATAGCTTGATCAATATTGGTGGTACTTAGAATGACCTTTACATAGCACATATTTTTGTAGGTTTTAATTTAGTTTTCTATTTTTATCAATTTCAAAGAATGCTGAAATTCTTTTATTGTTGAATCACTAGAATTTGGTGATGATGAAGTTGTTCTTTAAATAATGCAATTTTCACTTTTCAATTTACATCTTTATCAATTAATCTTGTTAGAAAAATTGTTGTATGAAAAATTTTTTGTTACACATCATTCAGTTCTCCGCAAAGAAAAACAAGTTTTTAAACGTTGATATTCTGGCACTATAATATTATAAAATCACACGACTCAATCACATATACATTCATTCAGAGCATCAAAATTAGCACTAAATACAAATCTTATCATTATTCATAATCAATAATACAATCTTTATTAAATATAGACTATTTCATGGCATTGATCGAGTAGTCTAATAAATTACAACAGAAACATATAAATAGATCCTCTACTCCTCAAAAATCGCAAAAGACGGTGCATTGATTTTGTATTTTACGTTGTATTCGAATTCGAGGGTTGAGGATTGATCTTTTTGTCCTGATCTTTTCCTCGTGTTTATTTATTTATCACAAATTAAAGGTCAATGTGTCAATTAGATTTTTTTTTTCAAGTCTATTATTATGGAAAGATAAACTTCACGCAAACATCAAAAGTTATTTACAAATTTCATTTGTTAAGAAACAATCAACTAAACTTTTTTTTTCTTAATTAAAAAAAAAAAATCCTTTGCTAAAAGAAATTAAAATTTTTCTTATCCGAATCATCCATTATCTCTCAAATGGTCAAAATCAAAAAAAAAAATTTTTTTAATTCAATACGAACATATTGTTTGTTTATCGATCATTGGGTTGACCAAAAATATACTAATACGATCCGTCCAAGGCCATAAGTTTTGGTTAGAACAAGACAAAAACTTAACGGTAGACAATGATAGACGCCACGCAAAAAAAACTAAAGCGAGACATGATTTTCTTTCAGTCAAGTATCTGCTTTGATCAACTCTGACGTACGTTTTGAACAAAAAAAAGATAAATTTTTCGGTTGCCAAATAGATAGCAATGGGAGTTCGCATGACACGGTGATATAAAAATAAACACAACTATTTATCATTTTCGGAAAACGAAAATATTTTTGTTCAAATTTCAATTAATTTCAAGCCAGCGCAGCAAAAAAAAAGAAAAAACGACTCATTACCTTTTGATTTTGAATTCATCCGTAACTGCACCGTTTCAAATCTTTTTACAACAGAATATTTTTCACCGTGCAACCAAACATTTCAAATTTGTTAAATTAGGAAAATCTATGACATTAGAAAGTAACTGTGACACAGAAACCTTTTTTTTATATTTAATCTTAACTGTTGTTATTATTCTCAAAAAAAAATCTCTCTCTAATTAAAACACAGAGTCAAATTTTATATTTATATCTTTACATAATGTCATTTATTAAACTATTATCATCGTTATCACTAGAAAGAAAGGATTTTGTATATAAAATTAATAATGAAATGTATAATAATGCTCTGGCTAATTGTGGTAAAGTGTAAAAAATTATTTTTTTTCATTGGTCAAAAAAAACAAGGAGCTTTCTGAAAATGAAAAAGAATTTTGTAAAGAAAGGTTTATTTATGAGCTTGAATTAAGTAATGCAAAAGATGAATCAGGCAAACCAAAAGAATGTAACAAGTGTAAATTGACAAGATACTCTGATAGGTTCTGTGAAGGTTGTATTAGTTTAAAATTACAGAGTTTTTTCACCACTTGGACATCTGGAAATAACATAATTGATGATTTTATTCAACAATGTCAAATGAAATCATCTCTGCCA